TTCGCTTCAGAGGCATAAAATAAACAGCAATCACAACTTCAGCGCTTTATACCAGTATTCAACCTTGAACAATCTTTATTATGGATAGCGAACAATGAAGGATCTGACGCTTACCTCAGCTAATCTTTATTCGTATGCATCCAAATAATGTCTTAGATCACTGCTAAGTACTGGGAATCTGCCCAATCATTTTCCTATTCTATGACTAGGTAGCTATTGCTCACAACCGTCATATCAATGAGTGGAAGGACGGACCTAGGAGTATCTACGCACGACTTTTTATCAGCTATTCCTTTGTAGCAGCATGAGTTTATAGCTCACGTCATTTACATTCACATGAAAATAAAAAAACAATAAAAATTATTAATGATTTATGCATAAGGGGTTTTCCCAATGAGTAAATCCGGTAATTTTCAGGTCGACTGCAAAGATCATCTAGCCAATTGTGACAGGAATATGAAAAAAGGCTTGTGTCCATCTTCTTCTAAGATTCTGTCAGAAAAGTTGCGGACTCTGTGAGTGCAAAGATGTCGCACCAGCAGGCCAGCACGTGCCAGAGGGCGAAACAGTTTGGATACTGCGATTCACATCGAGAATCAACCACATTCTGGTGTAGAGAAACATGCGGCCGCTGCGACGAACTGGGGAAAAAATTAAGAATGGTCATAAAAGTGCACTTGTAAGTTGTAGCAGGTTTCATTATATCGATTATTAAAGTGTCACCAGTCAAATGAATTGACGCTGCACTGAAATTACCATGATCTCAATTTCACTATCCAATAAAATGTATTGCACTGTAGTTTACCTTGTCAGTACATACAGTAGCGCTCAAAAGTTTTCGATGGAATACTTTTTCAACAATGGCTTTTTTCCGCTTAAGCAAATCAGTCCAAATTTTGGTATTTTTTTTTTGAAGAAAAACATTCTGCACTGAGCAAGTGTACTACTGATGAATGGGAGAGAGGCTCCAAAAAGAAGAAATCTTTTCACGAGAAATTACTGAGTAAGACCAAATTCCGAGTAAATTTCAATTATCGATAAAAGGTGGCATTTGATCAGAACAATCGTCGCATGAGAGAAAGTTAGTATAATATATATGACATATATATTTATTATTATATGAGGCACCTCGTGTGATAAGAAAAAATTAAAGTTAACGACAAACAATTGCACCGAGTAAAAGCGCACCAGGTAGCAAATCTCTATCGAAGTATGGCAGCTGGTATAAAAGTAGCATTTGCTAAGAGACAACTAATTAAAAGATAAATAAAGGAATTACATCAAAGGAACGAAAGTTGAATAGGAGCATAGGAAAAGAGCCAGAATCTACTAGTAATTCATCCAGCCTCTAGGTTTTCATCGAGATACTTTTTGAAGGCCTCAAAACTTACAGGAACACTTTTCTTTCTGCTCAACTTGAGGAACTGTGCGTAGACACGATTGGTAAAAAAGTGAGACCTGCACTTGAGTTTAGCTCTAGGAAGGCGCAACTTGAAAGCTCCACCTCTAGTAGTGGAGGCTCTAAGATCACCAAATGCGGTAAGATTTAAAGGAGAGCGCCCATGGAGAATGTTATGGAAAAACAGTAGATCGAACTTGTTTCTACGCCAGCAGAGAGAGCGGAGGCCAAAGTTGGCGTTCCTGTCCGCGGCGGAGGGGATGGTGTTGTACAGAAATCCAATGACTCTAATCATGAGCTTTCTCGTGAAGCTGTTCTGAACCTTTTCAATTTTGTCAATAACTTTACGTTTATAAGGGTTGAAAATGACAGTGCCATATTCTATTAATGGTCTTACATAGGACTTATAAGCTAACAAGAAAATGGTTCTTAGTTGTCAGAGCTCTGAAAATTTTGGACACAACCTGCAGCGCTTTACAACTTATCTTCTCACAGTGACTGTCAAAGTTGAGTTCCGAAGTCATAAGGAATCCGAGGTCCATAATCTTATCAAATTTTCCAATGGTCTCACCATCAATATAGTAGGAAGGGTCACAAGGGCTAGAAGTGGACCGGATGTGAAAGCATAACCTTCGTTTTCTCTTTTGACAAAGGCAAACACCATTCCTGTGACCAAGAAGAGGTGAGGTCAAGGGCACGTTGAAGAATGTCGCAATCCTGAGGAGTTTTTATTAGTTTGTAGATCTTCATATCATCAGCAAAGGCCACACTCTTGGCTCCACAAGATGCGATAAGACTGGGCAATTCGTGAACGTAAATATTGAAAAGTATTGGCGAAAGAACACCACCCTGGGGTACTCCACTTAGTACAGGCCGAGGCGTGGAAAGGGCTGAATTAAGGTCGAACCATAAACCAGCGGTCAGAGAGAAAAGGCTCTGATCCAAGAAATGATGCGAGGATGGATGCCCACAATCCATGAGGCACACGGTCGAAGGCTCTGGAGAAGTCAAGATAGATGGCATCTGCGCATGTTCCACTATCCAGGTAAGAAGTCACGTCATTCAATGTAGAAAGCATGGCAGTGACCGTCGATCTGCCTTGCTGAAACCCATGCTGGTCGGGGGAATAATGGGATGAGTTTGTAAGTGAGCCTCGATACTCTTTTTCAAAATCTTTTCAAAAAGTCGGGCAAATAG